TCTTTGCTATATGTTGTTTGGTAATTAACAGTTTTATGGTCTATCATGGTGCTCTACCATGTAAGTCATACTCATGCAGTTTCTAACAGTTTGTGGACTTATATTTATATAGTAACAGTTACTTTTTTTCATAACTGTATATATATATATACAGGCCTCGGCGGAAATAAATGAGTACAAGAGCAGAGAAAAGCTCTCCTAAAACGAACTTGGGGAGCTGTGCAAGCTGCACCTAATTTAAATCGGCGCTCTTTTTTAATTCTAATTTTTTTTTTTTTGCAACAACCGTGCCTTTTAAAAAGCATTTCAGTATATTATGCAATTATTTTTTTTAAAATGACAATGTGTTTTTTATTTTATTTAAAATGATAATTTTTACTTTTATGAGAAAAATTATATTTTTGCGAGAGCCATAAATAGCTCTCATAAACAGTTTCAGGGGAGTGTGGGCAAGAACGAGAGCTAAAGCTATATATATATATATATATATATATATATATATATATATATATATATATATATATATATATATATATGTATATATGATATTATTAGTATTATTATTTTGTACTTAATTTCTTAAACTATTATTTATTTATTTTTTTCAACAATTTCAGTGCTTTAGAAATCTCTAAGGTTTTTTTACTTCATACATTATAAAAAAAAACAGTTAAAAAGGCTGCAAAGTCTTTTTTAAGTCAGTTAAAAAGACTGCTTGACAACACCTTTTTTTGTTATTTAACTGACTTTTTTACTTTTGTAGTAATATCTAATATAAGTAATGCACCTAAAAAATAATGCATGCTAAAAAAATTTCAAAATTATTCTTTTTAGCAATTTTTACTAATTCAATTTTTTTTGAGTTAACATTTAAAAAAAAAAAATTTTATTTAATGACTGATAGGAGAATCTTAATTTTACAATTTTATGTGAATAAGAATTTAAATTTTACTCTACCCTACTGTTTAATGCTTCTTTAAAGTAAAACATAAAAAACTATGAGGAGCTGAAAAATGAATTTTTTATAAGTTTTTAGAAGATTCTGCACGCTTGATTATCTAATTATTAGGATAACATTAGGATAACCCTTTTTAACCCTTAAATTTCAACAATATAGTAAATTTTTTTAAAAATTTACTATATTGTTGAAGTGTGTATATATATATATATATATATATATATATATATATATATATATATATATATATATATATATATATATATATATATATATATATACATGTATATATATACATGTATGTATATATATATATATATATATATATATATATATATATATATATAGATAGATAGATAGATAGATAGATAGATAGATAGATAGATAGATAGATATAGATATACTGTATATATATATATACAGTACTGTGAATATGTTTTAGACCACTTACATTTTCTCAAAAAATCCAAGAGAATTCTTCCTTAATATTTAAGTTTCGAATTCTATATTATAAAGTTATTAAAACACATATATTTCACACAAAATATGGAACAATAACAAGCTTTTTAATGTCACACTTCATTTAAAAAATGTCCTCCTTTTGCCTTAATCACAGCCGATATTCGCCGGGAAATAGATTCATACAAATTTGTTATAAAATCCTGTGGTATGTTGTGCCATTCTCTTTGAAGTACTTGAAAACATTCTTCAGCATTTCGGGGAGCATGTTCGACCTTTTTCCTGTCCAAGTAATCCCAAATATGCTCGATTATATTCAAATCTGGACTCTGGGGAGGCCAGGTCATCATTTCCAGTATTCGTTCTTCTGCCATTTCATTTAAATAATTTTTTGCCACTCGGGAACAATATTTTGGGTCATTGTCCTGCTGCAGAATAAAATTATGGACCATTAGTCTCATTCCGGATGGTATAGCATGCTGTCTTAGAATATCCACATAACGTTCCCCGGTGAGTCGTCCCTCTATTTTGATTAGATCACCTACCCCAGATGAAGATAAACAGCCCCACACTTGTAAAGAGCCTCCTCCGTGTTTAATAGTAGGGTTTAAACACTTGGGCTGTTAGGCTTCTCCTATTCTTCTTTGAACATATTGACGTCTTTTCGTTCCAAAAATTTCAAATTTGGACTCATCAGTGTACAGAACCCGATTAAACATTTCCTGGGTCCAATCTTTGTGTTGTTTTGCATATTAAAGTCGTTTTTCTCTATTGCCACGCCGTAACAAAGGTTTTCGAATAGCAATGCAGCCTTGTAATCCTGATTTGAGTAGGTGTCGTCGAATACAAGAAGAGCTAACATTTTTCCCAGTTGCTGTATTAATGTCCTTTGCCAATTCGATTGATGTTTTTTTCCTGTTTCTTAAAGAAAGGGTTTTTTAAATATTTATTGTCATTTTTTGTTAGCTTAGGAGGACTACCACTTTTCTTTCTATTTCCAAGAGAGCCAGTTTCTCTAAACTTTTTAATGATTTCTCAAATAGCAGTCTTCGAATATCCTGTTTTGGAAGAAATTTGGCGCTG